CAGCAGCAGTTTTTTTAACAGTTAAAGTTGTTGATGAATACATCTAAGTAGCATTCAGTCCCTGTCCCCCCACAAGGATTATTACGGCATGGGGGGGGGAGTCAAACTGGATATCTGTAAACTGTTGCAGGGTAAAGGGGAATGTCATCTCAGTAATGTATTGGCCATGCTGCCATTTTCTGAATGGCCATTGAGAGGAACCGTGTGAGGCATGTGAATTGGTGCTGCATTTTGTCCTTTTTTCTCTCAGCCATTTAGAGCAATTATTGCAGAGGCACAGAAATAGGGCACACATACAAGTCTCAATCAAAACAGCTTGCGCGTGAAAGATAATTATTATTATTATTAATAATAATTTATTATTTATACCCTGCCCAGTTTCCCTAGACGTCTTTGGCAGGAGTATACTAGCTGACTGTCTCATCCTGTCAGGCCTAAGCCACAGTCTGAGGTAAGTCAGGAGCAGGGAAAGAGAAGCTATGGGACAAAATGGCTGTTGTTGTTGTTTAGTCGTTTAGTTGTGTCCGACTCTTCTTGACCCCATGGACCAGAGCACGCCAGGCACTCCTGTCTTCCACTGCCTCCCGCAGATTGGTCAAAATCATGCTGGTAGCTTCGAGAACACTGTCCAACCATCAACACTGTCCAACCATCTGTCCAACCACAAAATGGTTTGGGGTGTAAAATATCAACAACCTGCTGCCTCAAGACAGCTGTGCGTTTCCATCACTGGGCTCCATGGAAAATGGTTCCTCCATGCGAACCAGGAAGCGACCTCTACAACAACAGAATGACACTTCTTTTCTTATCTCTCTTGGGTGATGCGGATGCCCTTAGGCAGTTGAATGTACATGCAGACACTGTCCATTTCCCTCCTGCCCACTCCCTCCCTCCGTGCAGCCCTGTATGCTGGCAACCCACGCTATGCCACTGGGTTGGGATCTAATGTGGCAGCGTGGCTAAGCGGAGCAGAGAGTCATTTTCAGCATCAACCACCAATTCATTAGCTGCCAACCTTTAGTATAATTTATTTGTTTAAATAAATCATCAGTTGTTCAACTGAATTCCCTTGTCTTATGTCAGCCATTCTGCTAGGGTGGCTAGAGGTGATAGATAACCTGATAGCCTCCTATTCTGCATGTGGGGCTTGGTCTCTTTAATTGTTCACTGCTGTTTAAGCTCTGAACTGCACTCTTTAAAATATAGGCATAATTTAGTTGTTTTAAGGTATATCCTTTCCCCTCACTATGCGTTTTATAGCTCCTAGCTGCTCAGAGTTAATTGCTGCTAGGATACGGTAATCAATGTGTCAGCATGTCCCCTTCATTTTATTTGGGCTTAATTCAGTCCCGTTCACTCTGGCAATTTTGTTGCCACTTCTCGTCCTGACAAGGGGGAGGAAATATTTGTGAGATGAAACAAAATAGGTTCTGAAAAAGCACTGTGCATCTTGCTTTGTACTGTATGTGCTCTGAGATGGATAAATACAGGAATGTGCTTGCTTGCAACAACACCAGCTATACCTACCTATATGCCAATGTTGCCAATAAGAACATATGAATAGCGCTGCTATCGGGCCACTGCCTGTTGCAAAGGACCACTTGTGCTAGGTGTTTTGTATGACAAGCTGCTGACAAACATAGCTGGATCAAGGCCAAATATAATAGATGAAGCAGCCAAATCATAGAATAAAATAATTATGAATTCAGTTACTCTTTGAGATATATTGGCCAGATTTCAGTTTGGAAATTGTATTTGTTTATTTGCTTAATTCATACCCTGCAGCCTTTGGCACACAGCGCCCATGATCAAGGGCAGAGATCACGATCAAGAGAAGCAATGTTGAGATACAAATCTTGTTCAAGATCTGGTAAGAAGGAGAGGGCTCGCCTATTGGCAACACACAATGAAATACATCATGTTTTGAGAAAGTCTCTTAACTTCTCAGTTTAACTGTCAAATGGAGAGGAGGGAGAGGCAAGGGAGAGAGAGCAGGGTTTGGATAAAATCCACAGTTAGCTGGCTCCAGAAGTACAAACAAGATGCCAATGTGGTTAGAGAGTGCAGTCAAGGTGGTGCCAAGTCTTACCCAAATGAACAAGATACAACGAACCTATGGAATTCATTATTGCAGGATGCCATTAGCTCAAATGCAGAGAATCTAGAGATGGCAGCTGATACGTCCTTTAAAAGGTTTAAGGCAAATTAAACCTGGATAGGCTTATTGACAACTATACCCGTAAGAGCTAGAAATGAAATCTTCTTTGGAGAGAGTTTTGATTGATTATCAGCTGTTAGGCTATATGTCCATCTGGCAATTTCTTTGTGGTATCTAGATAGAGAACTGCATTTATTTATTATTAGCACTGCCCAGGGTTTCGCTGAGAGAAAAAAAATGTTGTGAGTTTTGAATGGATAGCGTAATTTGTGTGTTTGCTAGAAATTGGGTGGAGTCATCCCAAAGTCACATTTGGGTTCACCAAGGTGATTCAAAATGGTCTCAAACATTGCCAAAGACTGTCTCCCTGACTCAGGAACCCCTGTGCTGAGTTTGGCAATGATATCCCTGGAGGTGGCTGAACCTAGTTTAACGAAGAGCCCCCCAGTTGTTGAATTCCAACTCCCAGCAGCCTCAGTCAACATGGCCAAAGGTCAGGAATGATGGCAGTTGGAAGTCCAACAGCATCTGCAGAGCCACAGGTTCACTCCTGGTTTAAAGGTAAGGAACCTGCAACATTTATGTTTGTTTGTTTTTACACACACACACACACACACACACACACACACACACACTTTTTTTAAAAAAAACATAATTCATGCGCAGCGGAGGAGAAAACAAGGGGAGAGGTGAATTTTGGGAGTTTTTAAACTCTTTCTTTTACTTCTACATCCCAAGGTGTCAGATTGCTGTTGGCACCTCCATTACCGGGCCTTCACAGCTTTAAAAGCAAGACTGACAAAGTGGCACACACAAATCATTTTTACAAGGGAGGAAAAACCCATGCACTTAGTTCTCTAGGTCATTGTGGAATCTTGGTCAATAATGCAATCAGGTCACTGAAATGAATCATCTCTCTCAAGTTACTGGCGTGTGACCAATTTTCAGAAATGGAATGAGGCCACATTTCGTCTGTCTAAAATACATTCCTTTTGTACGCTGGACCCCCTGCTGCCACTTCTTCTCATCTCTGTGGAAATAGAAGCCTTTCTCCCGATCTGCTGTATAACCTCCAAAGAGATGATAGAAAAACAACCCCCAAACCCTATTGTTAGCTCATTCCTTGGGTTCCTACTGGCTATGCCTATGGATTAAGTCAGCTGTTTTATGATGAATAAGCAACTCCTTTCCTTTCTGCTTGTTTCCCATTAAGATCTGTGAAAGTCCTCTCCTAAAGCCAGGAAAACCAACAGTTCCCATTTGGTTGTAATCCTCATGTTATTGAAAGTATGCTCCTAAAACCCAGAAGATAGTCAGTAGTAGCTTCTCCCATAGCCAAACCTTCCCGAAAGAAAGAAAGAGAAAGAGAGAGACGTGCACACTTTTTTCACTTTCCCAATCTCAGGCTTGTAGTCACAACTCAGGATGGGGTTGTTGAGATGGAAAGGCCAAATATATTAATGATTTTATAAATATATTAATGACATTAATATTCTGGGCTCCCCCCCCACCAAAGGCCACTGGAGCTGCTTAATGTTTGATTGGTCATTCAGTGTTTTATACATATAAAACAAAATAATCATTAAAACAACTGAAAAATAAAAAAATGCTTTAAACAGCTGCATAGGTCTGTTAGTAGAAAAAGGTCTTCAGGATATTTGCATGCACACGAAAGGTTATACCAAGAAAAAGTTAGTTGGTGTCTAAGGTGCTACTGAACAATTATATATATATTTCGACTGTGTCAGACCAGCACGGCTACCTACCTGAATCTTAAAAAATCCTGAAAGTCAAAAGTGAATCTCTGAATCTCTGCTGGAAGAGTATTCTGCAGTATGGGACTGGAGACACTATTATTTATTATTATTATTTATTACATTTCTATACCACCCTTTATCCGAGGATCACAGGCTGGTTTTCGGCATAAAAACACAAAAAACACCACTGCCTCACAGGGTAGCTGAACAAGGCAGGATCCCTCCTTGTACAACTGTTTCTTTGCTTCTTGCCACAGAGCGCTGTACTATCCAGTACCCAAGTGACACCAAGCATGTTTTCTCCTAAATACTAGCCATGGTGAGGAAAAGGAGTAAATGATCTTTATCGGAGAGCTCTCCATTGCAGCACATGGCAGTTCACCACTTTGAGATGTTGATATGTCGCGTTATTGGCTGGTGGCATGCACGGCCTTGTCAGGAAATGAAGACATTGCTAGGCAGAGCAGGCTGCATCAGGAATGACTGACATCCTCTATTAATTTTTTCCCATGTAGGTAGCATAAAAAAATTCACCGTATGTTGATTCTGGAAATGTTATGTCTTTTCCAAGATCAGAGAATTCTTCGTGTTGGAACACTACAGTAAGCAGACCATCACACATAAAGCCTTCACTGTATCACATCTAGTGCAGGCATGTCCAACTCCCAAGAGACTGTGATCTACTCCCAGTATAAAAAAACTGGCAGTGATCTACCCTTTGTCACTGGAGAGAGGAGGAGCGTGCATGAGGAGGGTGGATTGCCCAGAGTTGTTGAGCTTTTTGGGGGAGGATTGCACAGAGTTTTTTAGATTTCCCTCCATAACTTTTTGTACACAATAAGGATCCCACGATCTTGACCAGGATCAACTGGGGATCTACTGGTAGATCACGATCTACTTGTTGGACATCCCTGATCTAGTGGATGTTTGTGGTGCAATAGCACTGTGATTTTTTGCACCCAGACTTAAAAACAGCAACCTAGTTTTGCAACTATGGCCAACTGAGAGCAATAGGCCATTGTGGCTTCTGGCTGATGCATCAGCATCTGAAGTGCAGAATATAATATTGAGCAGTAGCATATGGTGTGGTGGGGTTGCATCACTTACCTGACCTCCCCCTGGCCAGGTAGCTGCTGCACACCAGGATGGAGAGCAGGAAGGGGCAAAGTGGTGGCAAGGTTGCTGACCTTGCCACTGCCTTGCCTCTCTCTTCTTCCCGGTATGCAGTGGTGGCTTGGCTGGAGGGAGGTCAAGTAAGCAATGCTGCCCCTCCATTCTGTCCACTACTGATCTTCAGAAGTTCTTTAACAGCACATGAAGAAATATCCTTAGCCATCCTTCATGGCCACATCATAGTTCTTACTCTCAGTTCCCTGAACAAAACATTTTCTATTAAGTAGTGTCCTACATCTTTCCATATAATATGCAAGGCACATTTCTGAAATCATTCCTTCCTTCCTCCACTGGGAAGAAGCTTTTTCTAACTGAATTGTAGGTTGCAGTCGCTGTTCCTTTGCAGAGCTCTTAATGGATTGGGAACCACCAGCTGTTCAGCTGCAGCTCTTCTGTCTTATTTGAAGTTGTACTGATCTGTGCCAAAGTCCAAAGGCATCCGTTTGTACTTTGCAGGAAAGTTTGGACCAGTTCAGAAAAACTTTCTCCAAGATCACCAGCGGCTGGAAGGACATTATGTTGTTTGTTGATAATAGCAATGTGATCATAGTGTGTTGCAACATTTTGGGAGGCTGGGGGTGGAATGGGAGGATATTAATAAGATAGCCTTATAGATTAAAGAAAGTTAATAAGTTATGGAGGAGTTATGGAACAGATCCCAAAGAGTCAATACAAGTTTTCATTTTCATTTGCTGTGCCCTATTAGAAGTTATAAGACCATAGAGTTGGAGGGGAATTCTAGGACTAGGTTATCTATTCCAACTTCCTGCTCAGTGCAGGGAATTCAGAGCTATAGCAGCCCCAAAAGATAGATGTCTAGCCTCTGATCTACAATGAGGGAGAGCCCACTGGTCATCAGAGTTTCCATTGTCAAACTGCTCTTGCTGTTACATTATTTCTCCTCATGTGCATCTGCAATCAACCCTGCTACAACTAAAGTACATTGGATTCTGCTTTCTGGGCCAGTAGAAAATAAGCCTTCATACCCTCCAACATTTCTCCAGTGAAAATAGGAAATAATAATAATAATAATAATAATAATAATAATAATAATACCCCACCCATCTGACTGGGCTGCCCTAGCCACTCTAGGTATCTTGCAACATACAGTGGTACCTTGGGTTACAGACGCTTCAGGTTACAGACTCCACTAACCCAGAAATAGTACCTTGGGTTAAGAACTTTGTTTCAGGTTGAGAACAGAAATCGTGCTCCAGCAGCAGCGGGAGGCCCCATTAGCTAAAGTGGTACCTCAGGTTAAGAACAGTTTCAGGTTAAGAACTCCAGAACGAATTAAGTTCTTAACCCGAGGTACCACTATATATAAAAACATGATATAACATTAAACATTACAAAAAAAATTCCCTATACAGGGATGCCTTCAGATGTCTTCTAAAGGTTGTATACTTAACTCCTTGGCTCATGGGTCACATAACTACATACCCTGCAACATTTCTCTGGTGTAAATAGGGATGTCCTAAGGAAAAGTGGGACATTCTGGGATCAAATCAGAAACTGAGACAGCTTCTGTAAATCTGCAACTGTCCCTGGAAAATGGGGACACTTGCAGGGACTGAATTTTTGCCCTCTTCTATGTGACAACCCTTCAAATACCTGAATGCTCTCATGTCACCTCTCAGCCTATACTTCTTCATGTTAAACATAGCCGGTTCCTTCAGCTTTTAAAAATAGGATTTACTTTCTGTATCACTGACCATCTTTGTTGCCCTCCTCTTGCAATGAATTTCTTGACACACTGCAACATGACATTTTCACAGAAAGCGCAGCTTTTCTTTGGGTTTGATCACTGTATGTTTTCAGGTTATGCCTTTTGATGGGAGAATAAATTTTCCAGGCAGGGGAAAGCAAATGGTTGTTGAAGAATTCCATCAGTACTTTTCACCTTTCTGTCCAGCCTATAGCAAATGAATTGTAACCTCACTTGTGCAAACACCTGAACACACTGAATCATCTTGAAACTCACTGAAAGGATTGATCAGCCTTTCAGCAGTGGAGAAAATGTCCATTACGACCTCCTCGGCTTTCTGTGCTGCCAAACGCTTTCCTTTTGTATACTTCTGGCAGCAGGGCCCAGGAGCCCTGCTCTCTTGATCCCTTTCTCTGCCTTAACGGAGAGGGCAAAACAAATAGCAAGGGAGTATATTCAGGAGCACCAGATTGGCTCCACAGGAGCATTTGCCCCACCCTGACCTCTGCGCACCACCTCACACAATGCAAAACATGAGCTAGGTCAGGGCAGCCAACTATTTTGTGGACTACATCTCCCATCATCTCTGACCATTGACCATGCTGGCTGGGGCTGATGGTAACTGTAGTCAGTGCTGGTGCCAGGCACCTTAGGCAAAACTAACTCCTTGTATGACTGCCCCCCACCCCCCGTGCCTGCCCCATGAAAAGCACAAAACTTAAAACTGATAAATTTATCTTAAATTGCAAAAATGAATAATGCAGCAATCTTTGATTATCTTTCTCAAATACATGTTTTTGCACAAAAATCATTTTGAATCATCTTGTGAACTGGGATGTTAAAATTCAAGTTTCTTAAAAGTTTCAGTTTCAGGCACATCAAAATCTCACTTTGCCTGCCTTTTCCTTTTTTGTCACCAAAAAATTGCTTGGCCCATGTATTCAGTGGGCAGTGGGACTACTTTTCTAGTCCTAAACTACTGGGGGGGGGGGGGAAGAGAGAAACCAAGACTCCTCCTGTGTTAGATTCCCCTTTCTTTTGGCTAGGCTGACGATCTGTAGTTATGAATGTAAGTTTCATACCCAGCCCTTGGTTCATAAATGCCTTTATTTGAGCTATGAGTTGGAGAAGGTTATCTAGATTTACACTATGCCTACCTAATAGTATTTCTTATTCTGACCACACAAGAACTCTTTCGCCTCAAAGCATTGATTTTTAGATCTGAAACTTTCTCCTGAAGCACTTATAAATCAGGGGATCAATCTGTCTTGCTATTAGATCTGAAGACTTGTGCCTCAGGGAAACTTCTCAGCTTGATGCCTGAAAGCATAGAGTTCTCCCCCTACCCCATGTGTGCATGTGTGTGGGTCTTCAATTCTCTTTGAATGGGATATCTAGCCATTCACCTGCCATTAGCACACATTTCAGGAGCTAAATTACAGTACTTAGAATCTGAAGCCTTTCCAACAGCAAAGCCCCCTCATTGAGAGAGAGAGAGAGAGAGAGGGAGCGCTCAGCTAACTTGGAGTAAGGTATAAATTGATTTTCTATACTTCTGGTGTTAAATAAATTACAAGGCTTTGCATGGCCTATGGTGCCTTCATTTCCCCTGACATTTCTGGCTTCACTTTGCCTGATGTTCTCCTACAGAATTTTTGCCTCTGCCTCCACAGACATCTTTTTTGGTTCACCACCTTTTGTGTATTATGCTTCCCAGCTACGGAAACTGGCCGTATTGGATACATTAAGCTCTCAGGCTCAACATTAGCTCCAATTTGATGCATATTGGTTTGAACTGACTTCTCATAACCTTTTTATGCTTTGCACCCTGAGGTGCTTGCTTTAAGAATGATACAATAATTCCATGACTGACTGGTTCAGTGATTTGCCAATTTGTTAACTTTTGAGAACTCCCACAGCTCCTCTTATGCAGAGACTGCTTCCTGCCTATTACTGATGAGCCACACTGGGAAGAAGACTCTGACATCTACTGCCATGCTCAGCTTGAAAACTCGTGACACATTTGACTAGTCTCTTCCACCCCCCTGCTTTCTTGTTTGCTTCCCAACCCTTTCTGAATATGGCCTGTTGAGTTATGATTTGAGTACAGTCAGTGCTGTTTTGCTAGAAAAAGAGGTGCCAGAACTCCTCCTCACGTCTTCTTGACCCATAACTAGAAATCATGAATCTGAGAAGGGTTTTTTTTTATGCGTCCTGTGCTTCCTATGCATGGGTCTGAGTGGTTTTGCTTTTGCCCCTCTGCTTCCCCTTGGAAAACTACTCCGTAGCACTAAATCAGAACAAATGGGAATCTGTGGAAAACCCAATTGCCAATTGTTCTGATTCAGCGCTAAACTGCAGGTTTTCTAGAGTGAAAGCGGTGGGGCAAATGGAGGTGTGGATGAGCCCTATGTCAGATATAATGTGGAATATATTTTCGACAAGAAAAGAGGAAAGGGAATGACACTATGGGGGTAAACAGATTAGAGTGAAAACCTGTAAACGTACAACCATGTCAGAAAAATCCATATGGAATACATACATATGGCTTATTAATCATGGTCCTGTGAACCTACACTGAACTTTGCTCTACTATATTTATGTTAAGGTCCTGAAGCCCATTCAGGTTTTTGCCATTAATCTCAATGTAAGAGATGCGCCACAAAAGTTTGCAGAAAGTGCTTTGTATCTTGAAAACCCAGTTCTTCCAAAGAACCTAATGGCAGGTACATTTCCTGCCTAGGAAGTAGCCGTTAAATGAGAATATTAACCTAGTAGTCGATGAAACGCATTAGTTGTCATATATCTAGAATGCGCACAGACCAAAGTGGAAGGTATTTCCAGATACATAAAAACAGATTACTTTCAATTTTGATGCTCCTGTAATAGAGGAGTCTGAAATTGCTTTTAGCTTCCATCCTGCTACTGTTTCTTATTCCACAAAATCAACATTTGTATTTCATCAGCGGTAGAAACTTGCTTGCAGTTGGATTTGTGTGTTTTGTTCACAATGATTATGCACTATAGCCTGTTGGATGAATAATGGTAATTGGCGCAGAGGAAACAGGCAGAATATGTAATTATAGAGCACAGAGAGCACCCCGCCCAATTCTCCTTTAATAAGCTTTTCCACTAAGACAAAAAGAAGAAGAAAAAAGACAAGTAATGTAGGACACAATAGAGGTGTATATAATTATGCATGGCTAGGAGACAGTGGATAGAGAGAGGTTTTTCTCCCTTTGTTCACTTTAACACTAGAACCTGGAGTCATCCGGTGAAGCTCAGTGGTGAAAGATCCTGGGCAGACCAGCAAAAGTACTTCACACAGCAGACGGTTAAACTATGACACTGCTTGGATGGCTTGAAAAGGGGATTAAAGAAAGTCATGGCAGATTAGGTTATTAATAACTACTAGTCAGCACAGCTATATGTCCCCAGTAACAGAGACATTTTTAGGCCTCTAAAAATACCAGTTGCTGGGAATTACAAGTGAGAGCTCATGTCCTGGTTGCAGACTTCCAATGGGCATCTGGTTGGCTGCTGTGAGAACAGGATGCTGGGTTAGATAGACTTCTCATCTGATCCAGCAGGTCTCTTGGTGATGGTCCAAATGATGGCCTGAACCAGGAGCTATGGGTGCTTCCAGACTATCACTATTTTCAGGTGGGATTCAATCACATCCTGGAAAAACCAGGCTAAGCATTTAAAGCTGATTTGACACTTTTGTGCAACAAACCCATCCCCAGAATTGGATTTTTTACAAAAAGGGGAAAAAAGAGAGGGGAAATGGATGGGAAAGTGTGGGATAGCACTCATTTGATGCAACATCATATAACCTCTGCAGAAATAAATCAGAACGAATGCTCAAGAAAGAGGAGACACTTTCACATCCCCACAAACTTTGTGCAAACAAATCACAATGAACAGGTCCTCTAGAAGTGACCCAAATTATGTAATTTGTCTAGGAAACTGTTCACTTTTAGCAGGCATGATGGCAGGGCTGTGGCTGATCAAAATAACTGCGGAAGATTAAAAAGTGGGGCTCCCATAATCCAGAAGGAGTGCTCTGGTCTGGTAGCCAGAATGTAGTGATTTAGGGCCAACCAACCAGTGAGAGAAACAAAACACAGTGTATTAACTTGAAGAGCAATGGCTGATCCATTACTTTAGCAGAGGTAGGTTGGTGAAGCATTAGGAAAATGGCATAAATGGTGCCATCCTCTTGCACTGATTGAGAAGCTGTTGGGAGGGAAATGTTAAAGCTATGTTATGCACTAAATGTGGGCAAGACATTGGAATGGATGGCATGCACTTATGTGTGTAGGGGTACTAACTCAAGGAGGCTTACATTTTTTGGGGGAGGAATTTTGCCTTGTTCTTTGTCAGTCCCTTGCCTCCTTTAGCTTTTTAACATCTACAACTGGTAGAAGCTTTTCAGGGTTGTAGCCAGGAGACTTTCCCAGCCCTGCTGGGATTTAACCTGGAACCTTTGGGATGCAGAGCATGTGCTCTCTGCCACTGAGCTTATAGCAACGAGGGCTAGAAACTTGATTTCGAACAAGAGTCTAAAATTTATTACAGGGGAAAGCGAGAGGTGGTATTCCTATGCAGCTCACTGGTTTATGCTACACCTGCAGATCTTCTGAGCCCAGGTTCTCCAAGCAGAAATATGGAGATTAGCAGCCAAAACATGGACTGCACTAATGTATACTCTGTCTTGAACTGAAACTAATTACGAATCCTCTGTGCCCATTAATGGGGGGGGGGATAGTTCAGTGCTAATCACTTTCTTTCTAAATTTAACCTTGCTGCAGAACACCTCCAGTTTTATGCCTATTGAGATGGCATCTAGCACTCTTAGTGGTGCTTTTCAGAATCTAATTTTCTCATTGTTATTCAGTAGTGCTCACAGTTCTACGATGCAGGATCCATGAGCGGATACGAATCCTCTCATCTCGATGTGATATGTGCTGTTAATCTAACACCTGCTCCTCCTCCGTTTGGGGAAATCACAGAAATCTTGTCTCTTGTGATTCCAAGTTGAATACATTCTTCCTCAGAAATCTGCGCATCAAAGGAGGAGAAAGGTGCCTTTTATATCTTGTCAACAGATGCATTTTGAAAGCTTAAAAAAGAAGAGCACACACAGAGAGAACCTACAGGAGGCATTTGCCCTTCTAGTGTTCATCCACAAATCTTAGTTAACTGAAGAACTCCAGCTGTTTGCATGGCAAAGGGACATAATCCATGCTGAAGGGGCTGACTGATCCCAGGGGCCGCAATGGGCATGGCCTTGTGAAATATTTAGATAGAACCACTCTCATAAATAAACATAGAAGTCCCCTGTTCCCAACCTGAGACAAAACCCACAGTGCTTTAACATTCAGACAGAGAAGTATGCATGTTCTTGACAAGATGTGCAGCAAAGGGAGTAATTTCCTATCTTCATTTATGCTCCCTATTTCAACTCCCCCATCTTGGGAATGGAACATATCCCCAGGGTAGAGCATAGGCATGCATTCAGAAGGTCCAAAGTTCAATCCCTTGTATCAAGGAGAGTAGGAAGTTGCCTTATATTGAGCCAGACCATTGGTTCATCTAGCTCCTTATTGTGCGCATTGAATGGCAATAGATCTCCCAAAGAATTCAGGCAGGGGACATTCCCAGCCCTATCCAGAGATGCGGGGATTGAACCTAGAACCTTCTGCATGCAAAGCAGATGTTCTACCACTGAGCTATAGCCCGGTCCCTGTGTCGGGGTTGGAGTCAGGTGTAAGTCAGCAATAAAGCCCGAAGCCAGCGAAGTTTACTCTTTATTCAAGGAAACAAGCCACAGCTCAGGCCTAGTGGCCACAGCAATTCTTTCCAGGAGGTCTTGCCTAATGAAGCAGCTGTGAGGACTAAAGGTCCCCACCTTCCCTCAGCTCTCTAAGCTCTCCAAGCCCTTGATTCCTTCCCTAGTAACCTAAGCCTTCACCTGCTTGCCTCTTGTTGCTCTGCCCTCTGCATTTCTCTGCACATTTTGGGAGACCAGGGGGCAGGGGAGCTGATTGTAGCAGGAGGGGAAGACTCTCTGACTTCTTCCACAGCCTGCCTACACTCAGCTTCAGAGTCTGCACAGCTCTCTGCCACAGCCTCTTCCTGCTCATTAAACCCTGTTGCTCCCGAACCTCCTCCCCCCACTCTGCTCCCTCTTCTCCCTTTGACTGCTCATTGTCATCCCCCCACCAATCCCCTGGCTCAGAGCATTCTTCCCTTGGGAATTCCCTAGGGGGCTCCCCGGCAGGTGCCTTCCATCATGCCTCTGCATCCAGCCAGTCCATGGACACCGTGATAGAACTCAATGCATAGGGTTCTCAGGTGGTCTCTCATTCAGATGGACTCCCATTCAGATGCTGATCAGGCCTGCTCAGCTTTAGCAAGGTGGCTGCACCATGTGTCCTCAGACCATTTGAGTCTGAAGTCCAGCTCAAGCAGGATCTCCAGCTCAAGCAGGTGATAGGAAAGATTGCTGCCAGTCAGACAATATTGTGCAAGACAGAGAAATATTCTGAGCTGGTAGAAGGGCACCTACCTGCAGGTTCATCCCTATAATTATTTGTGGCTTAAGGGCGCAAGCTCAGGAGCCCGTGACTATAACCCCTCCCCTTCAAAGTAGGAATTGCCCAACCTGCTGAAAGGGAAAAGATGTACTACATATGGGGAGAGAACAAATGAGAGAACAGTAGGTCAATTCCTTTATGCTCCTTTGCTGCTTCAGAGCATCTTTTTTGATCCTTTGGACCACTCTGAGTAAAAGTTAGTGGAATACCACCCAGAATAAAAATATATTACAGGGCTAAAGAAGATGTACAGTGGTACCTCGGGTTACATACGCTTCAGGTTACAGACTCCATTAACCTAGAAATAGTACCTCGGGTTAAGAACTTTGCTTCAGAATGAGAACAGAAATCGTGCTCTGGCGGCGCGGCGGCAGCAGGAGGCCCCATTAGCTAAAGTGGTGCTTCAGGTTAATAACAGTTTCAGGTTAAGAACAGACCTCCAGAACAAATTAAGTACTTAACCAAGGGTACCACTGTATAGCAAAAGGCAGTAGAAACCAAAGTCTCTCTCTGCCTCCCTGGCAGAAGCTGGTGTGAAGTTGAACATAACTTCTACTAATTCCAGGCTGAAGATCCCTAGAAAAAAAGATTTGCCTTGATATATAGGAAACTTGGCAGTCAAATTGACCCAAGGACATAAGAAGGGCATAACCTGGCTCCCTATAAAGAAAAAATGGCCTTGTCCGAACTGATGCACATTTAGTGTCTGGAGTGAGAAAAATATCGTCAGATATATCTGTGTGCAACCTTGCTCTTTACGAATGGAGGCAGTACGGCCCATTTACAGAGAACGATGTGCAATTTCTATAATTTAACATGCTATATTTCCAACTCTCTGTGACACCATATTTATTCAGTTATGTTCTTAGTTCATGTGCTGAGATGGATTCCTTTTCCTTTTATATGCAAAATAACAATGAGGATTTGTCACAGATGAAAAGTCCAGATTCTTTTCTTCAGTAGCAATTCATCAGATACATAATTAATGAAAACAAGAGGTCGTTTAAATTATACATGGGCTTCCTCTTGGGAGAAGCGAACAAGAAATCGAGGGGTTTGTACAAAGTTACCTTTGCTTCTCATCGACCAAAATAATGACCTTGTGGGCTCCCATTCGTGATGTTCCAACAGGGTTGTAAGTGTGAAAACCATAAGAAATAAAGAATAAAAGAAAGGAAGGGATGAGCTTATTCATTTTAAGAATTCAGGCATAAAAGCTCCTTTAACATAGAACTAATATTGCAATTTTTCAAGAAACTTATTTAAAAAGTAGGCCAAAGTTCCTGCTTAAATTAATACAAGAGACCTAAATGCAAGGTGTCCGATTTCAATCTAAGATTCTGCAGAAATTGAAACAGACCTTTGAGAAATGTCTGAAATTGCATATCTTGGTATTCTCTGACCTGACAGGGAATTTTACCAGCACAACTGAGACTTTACTGTAGGGAGGTAATTTACTGATTTGATGATGATGATGATGACGACACAACTAGTAGCCTTATTGTAATATAAGCTGGAGTGCTAATGTTGAAAGATTGGCCATCTCTAGTCCAGAAACTCTGGTAACAACATTACCAGTTTGTAGTCATTTTATAGAAGCTAATAGTATTTTTTATTACTTTTAAGGATGCTACTGGAAAGGAGGAGCTACAGTGGTACCTCGTGTTAAGTACTTAATTCATTCCAGAGGTCTGTTCTTAACCTGAAACTGTTCTTAACCTGAAGCACCACTTTAGCTAATGGGGCCTCCCGCTGCCACCGCACTGCCGCTGCACGATTTCTGTTATCACCCTGAAGCAAAGTTCTTAACCCGAGGTACTATTTCTGGGTTAGCGGAGTATGTAACCTGAAGCGTATGTAACCCGAGGTACCACTGTACTGAGAAAAGTGGTAGTCGCTGGAGTTGAGCTAAAATAGCCTCGCAAATTCTCCATGTTATTTGTGGGAGGTGAAATTTGGGGGGTGAGGGTGAGATTTCGTTGAATTATACTTTGGGGCAATGGAGTTCTCCTATGCCCAGTCCCCACCCTTAAATGCCTGAAGTGTATCCTTGAACCAGGATAATGCTTCTTCCTGGCTTAAGGATAAAGAGACGTGGGTGGGTATTTTACCTCTGAGTTTTACTGTGCAAAGGTACGAGTCAAACCAGATGCTCCACCCACTCTTGCTACTGGCCCCACCCACCACTGGCAACTCCCGAATGGTTGCCAATGAGGGAATGTGGCCTGTGAGCTGCAAAAAGCATTGTTTTCTCAAAATTTACCTTCTGTACCATGAAAATAAAGAAAAACAGTATTTTATTTTTTTTTAAAAAGGGTTCCCCATCAGGCCTGTAAGGACTGATTCACACATACCTTTTTGCCTCTGTCCTGATGGTTGCAGCAGCACCAGGTGGTGATGTGAATGAGGGGATGATCTGTCTTAGATCAAACAGTACAGATAAAACTCCCTTGCCAACTGAAAGGCAGAAATTTTTCAACAGCGACTTAGTCACAATGACTTAAGTTTTGCTCAGAATAGGCCTATTGAAACTAATGGACCTAAATTAGAAAGGCTTGTTAATTTCAGCGGGTCTACTCTTGAGGAAGGCTTCATTGACTACTATTACACACACACAAACCTAAAGCAGAACAAATATTAGATTTGGCGAAGAGCCTGCTATTTTGCAAAAAGAGGCACTGTTGGCATTTCAGCTGCATAGATTTCTCTTCCACGTGAATGACAGTATTTGTGTAAAGCACTCATACAGAACCTTAGGCAGCGCTGTGGATAAACAATAAACCAGAACTATTCCCTATGGGGGATTTGGAGTCATAGCTCATTAAATTCCTTGGCACAGCACAAGTTGGTCTTTTATTGTGCAAAGCACAGGTAACGTTTTGTTCCAAGCGCTGGTTCATGCGGCAAATACCGTTTATCCCAAGGTACCCGACTGAAAAGGCTTAGTTGAAATGGGAAGGCCTAATGATATGACTTTGATGTTGTTATTTAAAGCCTCAGCTTTATAGAGTTATTCTGCTATCATTAATTTCAGATATCGAATTTCTCATTGGATACCTCGTCATTCCTCCTACAAAGGAACGACCTAAATAGTACTGCAGTAATGTGAACTTCCCCCTTTATTTATTTATTTCATAAAAGACACCACTTCATCGTAAATGAAACCTCCAAGCAGTTTACAAAAGATTAAACAGGTAAAAAGTTATTATGCTTTTATATATGTTGGAAGCTGGGGTAACCCAGCCAGATGGACAGAGTTTAAATAATAAAATTATTATTATTATAAATAAGATAAAACAGAAAAATTCACAACCACCCTTCAAAACATACAAAAGTTAAAATAGTTATTGGCATCTGCCTGTCTCAGGAGACAATGGAAGAGTGCGCTTTTGGGGGTGAAGTCAAACTCAAACTGTTGGGGTTTGAGTACAGCACCTTCTGTGGCTGTAGAGACCTTTTCTAAGCATCTGGGTGGGCTTGTCTAAACAACAATGTTTTTAGCAGGCACCACAAAGAGTACAGTGAAGGCACCTGCTTGATCTCAATAGGCAGGGAGTTCAAAAGTTTAGGCACTAAGCAATCAAGTTCTTACAAATGCCAAACAGGTATTACATGGCACCTATAGAAATGCCAATTCCGCTAATCGAAGCAGATGAGTGGGCACATGTGGGGCAAAATGTAGTTAAACTGGTTCCAAGTTGTATACAGTGGTACCTCGGGTTAAGTACTTAATTCGTTCCAGAGGTCTGTACTTAACCTGAAACTGTTCTTAACCTGAAACACCACTTTAGCTAATGGGGCCTTCCTGCTGCTGCCGCGCCTCCGGAGCACGATTTCTGTCCTCATCCTGAGAACATATATTTCTGGGTTAGCGGAGTCTGTAACCTGAAGCATATGTAACCTGAAACGTATGTAACCCGAGGTACCACTGTACTAATAGCAACACTTGGAATCTGGCCTGATAGCAGATCAGCAACAGGTCTTAAATGCCAATAAGGCC